AGTGGTCCACTATCTCAGATTAACCGTACCAGCTCGACAAAGCTTCCACTGTATCAGGAGGAGATCGAACGCGTAGTTCAGCTTGAAGCAGGTAAACGATCACAACTCGATACCACTTCTATAAAGATGGGTTCGAACCTGTTGTACGATCTGAAGCAAGTAAACTAGCACAGTTCGACAACACTTCCATCACAGCAGATTGCAACCTGTAGTTCGATCTGAACCGTCACAGCTCGAAACAATTTCCACCAGATCGAGAAAGTTCTTTCGAACATTTCAGCCACAATGAGTACTGAGGTGCTTGCTAGAAGACCTCACACCTCTACAAGTTCACGCTACCACACTCAACACGTCCAAAGTCACAGATGTCCACCTGCCAGGCTGTAACCTGTCTAATATAGTCCCAAAGGAACCCAATTCCACTCGTATTCTGGTAAGCAGGGTACATGTCCACTGGGAGGCTCTCACCAGGGACCATAACATCAAGTAGATCTACACCACAAGTGGGTGCTAACTATTACATGGCTACTGCATAACTCTTCATTAATGTATGTGTTCGTCCATCACACTAATTGCCTAATTTTGAGCAGTTGTTATTTGGTAATTTATTTCGTCAAGTCAGTGTTGCAGGACATGGAGATTATGTATTATGCTGCACCACTATAGACGCAGGGATCATCTCAAGGGATGGTGTAAATAATACACGGACGTGATATTAATCAACACGCTCGACAGAACAATAATCTGATAATTATTATTGGTCTCATGTATCACCTTGATGTGCTAATAAACAGTGGATCGTCTCTCGATAGTAGACTAATGACCTTCTTGAACAATGTTACCGGGTTGAGTAAATATTTACTCATGTGCACCTGTATAGTTACATTATTATTATACGACTGTTTCAGGGACATTGTCTATTGTATGTGTATTGTTGGTTCCTTTTAAACAAAAATGAATATATTGTTTTTGAGGGCAGCGATTGTGTATTGAAAGTAGTTTTGGATGAAGTGACAATATTGTTCTGTCATTCCGTGTGATCTGATAATGGTATGACGAAAACGCCTGTCATTACACGGATTTCGAGTTCTTTGATTACTTGATAAGTTGTTCTTTGAGATAAGTTGAATGGAGGAAAGTAATGTGTAATGTGAAAGTAGTGTTTGGATGAAGTGACAATAGCAGTACGTTCTGTCATTCCGTGTGATCGAGAAGTGATAATGAAAGCGATTTCTGCTTTTACTTTTGATGTAAATGTGACGATGAAAGTAATTTCCGTCATTACTTGATATGGAGAAGTGACGATGTGAGTAATTTCCGTCATTACTTGATATGGAGAAGTGACGATGCAAGTAATTTCCGTCATTACTTGATATGGAGAAGTGACGATACAAGTAATTTCCGTCATTACTTGATATGGAGAAGTGACGATACACCGTCATTACTTGATAAGTGACGATGTGAGTAATTTCCGTCATTACTTGATATGGAGAAGTGACGATACAAGTAATTTCCGTCATTACTTGATATAGCTTGATAAGAGAAATAACTTCAGTTTTCTAATAGTTAAACCCCTAACCTATTTGTTTGTTGTTTAACGCCGCACACAGCAATCTCCCAACTATATGGCCGTGGTCTGTAAATAACTGAGTCTGGAACAGACAATCCAGTGATCAACAGCACGAGCATGATCGATTATCTCATCTATGCAAATGGGATACGATGACATGTGTCAACCAAATCAGAAACCCTTTTCCACCCACCCTAACTTTAAGTCGAGAAATATACCATCAACTCCAGTATTTGGGGGCCAAGATTTCACATATTTTGAGGTTCAATAGACATTAAAATGCGACTTTCTCAAAGTTTTCATCACGCTTATACATGCATGGCTTCTGTAATGCTTTCAAAAGTTTTATTGAAGAGTGTAGTGAATGAATGAGTAGGGTTTTACGCCGTTTTTAAGCACTAATCCAGCAATTCACACATTGTATCCATGTGGGGAATAGAACCCCGGCCTTCGGCGTACGAGCGAACGCTTTAACCACTAGACTACCCAACCGCCACGTTTTATTGAAGACATGTGAAGGACATTTCCAACTATGACGCATCAGTGACAACTGTTTTCCCCTCTTTTGACTTTGTTCCATGTGTTCCCATTGTTTTTAAGGCGAACAATTGTGTAGCCTTTGCGTGTATTTATGACGGATTCCGGTGAGGTATGCGACACTAGCCTTTTCGCGAATACCTCGTATAATCACTGTTTGATAATGATTCATTGACACATGCTTCTGGTTAAATCGGAAATGTATATTTGGTAATTTTTTCTTATGATTGAGAAAATGACTTTGTAGCTCTAATTGTAATGGAAAAGTTGGTGAATATAAAGTTAATTCTGCCAGTATGCCTTGCGGGAAGAGTTATATAGGATAAACTTGCCTACGAAAACAATTTCGTGTCATAGTTCTGCATGGAACCCCTTCACAATAGAAACCACTGTATCAGTTATTCCTCTGCAGAGAAATAAAAATATCAATCAATTCTAATCCTCGAACTACAGATGTATAATTACGAGGATCACGCTGGAGACGCTAACTGCCATTCATGGCACTAGTGTAGTGCCTGGCAACCAATACATTGGGTTATCGTCTTGTCCGTGCAAGGCCCACCGCGTGATCCTGGTCCCCCGTCGAACACAGATGACACACTCAGATATAGCACGATAGGCCTACTATACAATAACTGACGTTACAACCGAATATAAGGATCAACGGCCTCCTGGTGACACCACCTCTTTCATCTTCAAACTGACACCCTTCCAAGTTGATGCATTACCTTGAAGCATTGTAATGATTGTTTTAAATATGATATATCGTGCTTTTAACACGTTATGATATAATAAATTCACTGGCACATTTACCCAGGGGAGTCGCGCCAAAGATATGGTTTGATTCCCTACACATGGTTAACATGTGTTCCCTCAATTCTTGGAGCCCGACGTGATCATGTGATCGAAGAGGGTGTGGTTTATAAATACATCCACTATTTATCCTGTTCCGAAAGCGGTTTATCATGAAATAGTTTTAATTTAGGATGAATGTCAACTTCTGTCATTCATCATAAAGTAATGCATTAAGATCCGTAGAATACGCTGACAGGTGTCACAGTTACCTGTAGCCGTCACTGTCAATATCCCTGTAGCAGATTCAGTGTAAATGTTACTGGCTTCACACAACACGTTCTGGTACACATAGATCTTGACGACATTGACCAGTGTCCCTCACGAGTCTATAACAACACCGCCTCTGTGTCCATACTGATAATGGATGTCCGCCTGGCCTGGCCGTGTCACTCCGGACAGTGTGATACAGGGGTTATGTCACTGTCAATGTTGACATTTCCTGATAACACACACGTACCAAGCTCCTGACGGACAGCTCTCAAGATAATGCCCAACCGTGATCTAAAACACAGATTGCCTTATGCAACAAGTCGAAATATGGCATAACTGTGTTGATGAGCGGCCTAAGATGGCTTAGTTGAACCTCTACATGATAGACATACTGTTCAAGTCCAGATAAAATGGATTATACGGTGCGCTACGTAACTAGGACACGGTCTACTTTGATTGATCTTGAACCCAGATAAAATTTCTAATCAAATTGTCCCTGAAGTTCATTCAGAGGTGAAGCGATGTTTATTCAAAGGGTCACGTCCAATTGGGGGCAAAACAAATTGATTTCAGTCAATCATTTCCCTTGTAAGGGCGATAGGTTTGACTTGAAAAACCAACCTGAAACGGTGGATCACATTTATCTGTACACGTGATCAATGATGAGAACTGATACAGCCCCCAATCTGACATGTGAGCCTGTAGTTCAAGTTTGCAAATAGGAACAACAGGCATGTAAAGAATGTGAAGGAGTTGGGTTTAACTCTACTTTGAAAATGGTCCAGTTGTACCATGTCTATATGTTATATCCATCATACCACAGCGTGTATAAACGTTTGACGACGCACACGTAAGGTCTCTGTACGGACGTCATCATATTTCAGAGTAGTTGAGAACCTAGCCACTATTGTGTATTTCTGTGTTTGGTTTGTCAATAGAAACAATATGTTAAGTAAGTGAATGAGTTCGTTTTAACTCCATTTTGAAAATAGTCCACTTTACAACAGCATCTATAAGCGTTAGACGTGATGTAGGTACCAACACGTCATCATACTTCACAGTAGTCGTTAATTTACCCAGTGATGTGTATTTCTGTGTTATCAAATGTGGATTATCAGATAGATCTGATGGAAGACCTAGCAGCAGTGAACTAACGCTTAGTCTAACAAACAAACCCATATAAATTGAAAAGGAGCCCCTGGGAGACCAGAGATTCAGACATTCCTGAACCTGATGAAATCTAGACTTGCTTTATTTAGGACTTTAGCATTGCAGAGAGGGTTTGGCAGTAGGGAAAATAATGTGGTTCAGGGACTGTGTGACAGACTAAGACATAGCCAACATGTACACTTGGGTAAATGAAACTATTACAACTCGTCGCAATATTTGTTTATGACTATGAGGATTAAACCATCAGTATGTCTTCTACTGTTGCACCTCTGTATCTTATGTTTCAGCTGATATCTTGGGTGACACACATCATACAATTATGAGGTCAGATGAGCTATTGTCTTGGTTGGAAACCGAAGGTAAGGAGTATAGTATTTTTACTATTTCATGATAATTCGCGGGTATTTGTCCATAAGTAAGGAATGGCCATTTATATATCTGTGGAATTTCAAGTGCCATGGTTTGAATAAACATATATTCAGAATTTAAAGAAACCACTGTGCATTTTAAGAGGCATTTAATTACAAGACTTTAGTTTTTGGAGTTGCCTCCAATGTCTGGACGTTCAGTGAGCCCATACATCTGTAATGACCACGAAAGGGAAGTTGCCTCGGTGATACCGAGCTGAATATACAACTGACACATAAACAGTACTTACGCCAAGCTCTGTATCTTTCAAACTTTGCCTCAACACTTTCAGGCTTTCTCTTCTTCAGTTGTTGCTGTCGAACACTTTGGTACGAGAGTGTCCACTTGCGAGTGTGACGTAACACATTACCCTCGGACCATGTTCTTGACAGTTTCCCTCCGGTGGACGTCTTCTCGATGGCGCCCATCCGGGTATCGTTGTCAAAACTTGTACTCATTCCTGCCATTGGGGGGCGAAATTTTGGAGACGAAACAGGCATTCCTGTTCTTTATGCTCAGTTTCTTGTGTTCCTTGTTTTTAAGCACATATCTTTAGTGCTTATGTGTATCTGAAACAAACCTTCGTAAAGTTAGAATGTACATTCACATAGTTGCATACCCCTAAAAATCCGGGTTAGAATTGGTCTTCAGCAACCCATGCTTGTCGTAAGAGGCGACTAACGGGATCGGGTGGTCAGGCTCGCTGGCTTGGTTGACACATGTCATCGGTTCCCAATTGCGTCGATCGATGCTCATGATGCTGATCACTGGATTGTCTGGTCCAGACTCGATTATTTACAGAACGCCGCCATATAGCTTGAATATTTCTGATTCCGGCGTTAAACAACAAAACAACCAACCAACCAACATAGTTGCATGTTACATTCTGACGGTGATATACACCTTTGTAAGATACGTATATCGCAATAATACATATGTTGTCTATCTCTTCGCAGTTTACCATGTTTGTATGATTCTTATTATTTCTTTAGCTGCATGATCTGCTAATAATAGGTTCGAATTTTAAGGTCATCCAGATTACAATTCTTGGCTTGTCAGCACCAGCTTCCCTCCTTGTTGGTTGTGTGATGTGACTTACTGGATCGGTTGGTTATGTTCATTGACTTGTTTGATTTCGCGACACCATCAAGCACTAGATTGTCTTGTCAAGACCGCTGCATGTACAGATAATCGTCAAGTCAACTGAGAGGCTAAATAAGCTGTACCTATCACCTGATTTTAATGTTTAATTTTCAGTATAAAGTTGGCGATATTATCACTAAAAGCTGAACAGTAGTATCGTTTATCTATCTCTCTTGGGACACTCCTACGGGTTTTTCAAAATATAATTTGAAAACATTTCAAAATTGAAAAACAAGAATCATTATCGCATAACATGCATCTGTTTATGGGTATCTAGGGTATCGATGAATTTACATATCTTCAGCACAAATTTCCATTTCAAACTTGCTGTTGGAGGCTGTTGGGACGTTCTCCAAATACAACGTTTGTAGAAGCAAGTCAGGTCCTACTAGGTGAATATCGAGTCACTGAAAAATATGTAAACTGCCTCCCAAACAGAATACATGAAAGAGGTCAACTCAAGTCTGAAATGGGCTTTCTGGGCTGCTTTTGGATTCATTCATTCATTCATTCATTCATTCATTCACGATAACCCAAGTTATGAGACTAAATGTCAGTCTAAATGGGGCGAGGAAGTGAAAAATGTAAAACACAGTTTCATAGTTGCTCGGTACACAGAGGGAGAACCTAACTCGCCATTATATCACCGTCTGCTGTGTTAAACATACCTGTAATTAAACGTATTTCCTGTATACACATGTAAGTACATCAAGACGTTTTCTACGACGCCTTCTGATCCAAGAGAAAGTGTGTAACCTGACAAGCTTAAGCAGTTCGCATTAGATCAAGCGTCCGAGGACTTATTACAGGGAAATGTGACATGTATGTTGATCAACACTCTAACTGATAATGATGATGAGCCCTGACCTACACTGATTAGCCAACATTGTGAAACCTGCGACAGCTACTGTAACAGCTACATGAATTCTTACGTATAATCAATGTCTGACGATGGAATAAAATGTTAGTACCTTTAAATCTCTGGGAGATGTTCTTACAACCAGCTTCATAATCCTAGCCTGGCCCGTCGATATAATACACACTTGAATTCAAACCGAGCGCCACTTGGTTGGTTGACAAGCAGGTAAGTAAAGTATGTAAGCACGTGATCACGAGGAACATGACCCGAGGTCATGTGACGTCACTTGTCGAGGACGGAGAGACAGTTCACATTTATTAAATACCTGGTGTGAAGGTGTGGCGTGTTTAAATGCTGGGGCTCACTGTATGATTCGAGGTGTATGTGTCCACGTGTCTTATATATAATATATTAACAGGTGTCTGGGATTAAAACGTACACGTATCCCTGTGTATATAATTATATGTATTTAGTTTAACCAATTAGAAATTCGAAAGCAGATACACAGCTAGTACATGACACAAGGACTTGTATAACAAGCATCCTTCTTTGAATGAAACCTGTTAGCTGTTACAGTTTCAAACAGTGCATCTGCCATGCCCTGCGGTAGGCTAGAATTTTAAAATATAACGTTCAAAGAGAATGTCTAATAAGCTTTCAAAAATTGAAGACATATAGTCATTTCTAAAATAACTGCAAGGAAAAAGAAAGTACACTCTTGAAAAAAAAGAAGGACGTGACTAAACATTCCATTATTGTCACGGATGGTCACGTTCTGTTACGGTATCTGAACGTTGATCACGCTATCACCCATGGACTGTCCGCTATGGTATAGGTTTAATATAAACTGACAGGCAAAACAAGTGTACACATCTGAAAATTACAAACGTTATCGAAACGTTATAAGACTGAAAACAGACTCCGAAACACTGCAATCCTAAAAGTAAAAAAACAACAACAACAAACAAACAAACAAAACCCAGGAAAAACAAAACTATGATACTCGTATCAAATACATCGAATAAACACTTGTTTGTTTCATTTTAAGCCACCCCCAAACAAGGGTGTATACTTTATTTTGCACGTCAGTTTATTATAGACCTGTCAGGGCTCCATCATATTGTTCGTTCTTGTAAGACAGACATAGGCCTCTGTAACAAGGAGACAGCATGGGTCAATGTTAATCTTTCACTGTACTTTCGAAACTGATGACAAGGCGAGCACCTTTCCTGTGAATCTATTTCAGTCGATTTAATATTTGTTGACACCTTAGAGAAAACCTTTCCCAATATTGACCAATCAGACAAAAGATACTTGCTAACATGCCGCTTTAGCCGTAAACAACCTAAGTCTTAGATCAAATATGTTTCTACAAGCTGAACTTCATTAAGAAAATTGGATTACTATGGCTTTTGAAGTGCGTTCTCTAAAGCCTTGGGGGGACGCATTCCTTCACACGTACCCCGGGGCCTGGTTCCCCTGGGCAGGTGACCACAGCACACTGACCACATATGACCGGTAGTCTGTCAGGTGTACGTTCACATGGCGTTAAGACTGATGCTGTACATAGGAGTATTTATTTTGCCTTTTACGGTATTTTAGTTTTTTCCGCGAAGGTCTGGCAGGGTCGACTGTAAATTACAAAGAATCTAGGCTATTTTTGTTTGGATGTGTTATACATTTTTGAAATTGTTTCGTTTATACTCTGAATAATTTACCTTCATCACAGACCATATACCGATAGGTGTAGATTCTAAAGACGTGATTTAGACAGCATGTGGGTTGTTAACTATGTTCTTTGTGTGGGCCTTTATGTGTGATTTGTAAGTAGTTTGAAAAACAAATGCAATCGCGTGATTTCATTTCTCAATTTGTATGTTTGTAAGTCTGTCAAAAGAAATACTCTTCTGTATACTACCACTTTTCTTCCACACCCTTACATATGGCCTTTCATGTGTACAAGCAACACAGACCATCTCCTTCTGAACGCTTCCCAATAAAACAGCTTCATCTGACAGCGAGGTCCGGTCGAAACTAGGTCAAGGGGGTAACAAATGACCAATGTCCGAAATTTTGACACACGATAAATCAAAGTATAAAAGATACTTGCTGAAAACATATGTTCTTTTTAAATGATAAATGTAGTGTATTATCTATTTATATTATTGTGTAACGTATTAAAGAAACTGGAAATAAGCACACATGGCAATAGATAGCAACTCTACCACGGTTACGGTGCTCGACGGTACAATGACCAGAACATGATTCTTCTCCAACTAACTTGCTCTCAGACTTGCAAGTGACTGTTTCTTTATGAATGAAGAAAGTGCAAAAGTGAACTTACTTATATCCTGGAGGTGTCCTTAATTCCGACAGAGGCACGAAATATATTCCATAACTTCGAAATGGTCCCCTGGACCGGCGTCCTCTAAACGGACTCTACAATCAACTTGGTCACAAGTGCTATCTAAGTGTCCCGTCACGCGAGAAATCGCGCGGATTAGTGTAGGCTACTGTTGATCCCCGCTATAAGGACAGGTCTCATTCACCATTTGAAGAGACTGCATGTAAATGCATAAAATGAAATGATATAATTTTAAAGGTAAGTTTGAACATTTGATTCTATTATTCTTAAGATTTTCTGTATCTGAGGTCGCGTAATACCGAGGAAGGTTTTCTTAAAATCCACCAAGCGTGTCGGAAGTGTCAAGTTACTCGTCTTTTGTCTACAAAGATGGCGGCATTGTGTCGTCTGCAGCTGAAGACAGTGCTTTTTGACACTTGAGTGACCAAAGGTATTTTATCACAGACGCCATCAAAATAATTCATTCTGGATTTCGTCACATCAAGGCCGTCATTTATACAGTCATGGGTAATTTGATATACGTTTGAAAAGACTGAACTCTTTGCAAATCCAGCTTGTTCCATTTTACTTTTATACAGACGTATTTTGTTTACTGATTTCATGTCGTGTGGGTATGATGAAATGAAATGTAAATAAATGTGTTTTCTGTTCTCATATATCAGGTTGACAACACGAGGAACACGGTTGTAGAGTGATATTCGCATCAAAGAGTCATTTTCTCACAGTAGGATTTCGTCACATCGGCCGTCATTCATTTTCTTGAAAGACAAGCTGAGGAGATGGGACATGAGACATCTTTGGCAAATCTGCACTCTAAACCTAAGTGTTCTAGTTCTGAACACTATGAGAACACCCTTTCTGTAACAGATTTAGAACGCAGTCGGAGTGTTCTGATTTAGACAGTATGTGTTCTGCCGTCAGAACACTAGTGTTCCGCTTACAGAACGCTCGTGTTTTAGGTTTCAGAACACTCTTTGTGTGTTCTGTATGTGTTCAATTCAGAACACCCCGGACGCCTCGGACGCTGTAACAGATTTAGAACGCCCTTTGAGTGTTCTGAGCCTTATTTCAG